TCTCTCTCTCTCTCTCTCTCTCTCTCTCTCTCTCTCTCTCTCTCTCTCTCTCTCTCTCTCTCTCTCTCGGAAAGATAGACAATACACTATCATATTCAAAGAGCACCTCTCACCATCTCTCTTTACGAAAGGTGGGCAACATATAATTCAACCACAACACAACCATCTTGTTATGCATACGTCTTTATAATTTTTCGCCAAGGTTTCTGTATTGTGGCTGTTTTGGCAAGCCAAAATCCTGAAAAAGCATTTTTGCCTTAGGTTTAACTTTTTAGGCTGTTTTCCTCCTCTTCTTCTTCTTCTTTTCATTACTTTGTTGTCCTTCAATTTCATTAGTTTGGTCTCCACTTGGTGGCAAGTTTGGTTTTAAAGTTTTGCGATTTTGCTAAACCCTAAACCATGAGAAAACCCTGAAATTATAAGACTCCGTTAACCGCTTCTAGATTTTTTTCTGTCAAATTTCTGATGAATTCTTGAACAAAAACGGTCACAAACCTTGCTCACGAGTACCAGTTTGAATGGGCTTGCATGAATGTATCATAGCCTCAGGTTCACTGATGTCCGCAGAAGATCCTTGCCCATGGTAGAGCCATCCAAGAGTCTTGTGCTAAGGGATAGTAATTGGTCTACCTATCCATTATACAATCATTCTACCCCTTCAATATTCCAAAGACCAGAAGGTAACAGTCATCACAAGAGCCACATAATGCACCAGAACGTACCAGAACGTACGAGGATGTACTGGGATGTACCACAATATACCAGGATGTACCGGGATGTGCCAGGATGTGCCAGAATGTGCCAGGATGTACCAGGATGTACCAGGAAACAGCAGGATGTACCGGATGTAGCAGGATGTACCGGAATGTACCAGAATGCACGAGGATGTACCTCGAAGTACCAAGATGTACCAGGATGTACCAGAACGTAGGAGGGCGTACCAGGATGTACCAGGATGTACAGGAATCATGTGGAATGTACAGGAATGTGCTAGGATGTACCAGGATGTACCAGGATGTAGCAGGATGTACCGGAGTGCACCAGGATGTACCTGGACGTACCAGAATATAATGGGATGTACCCGAATCCATGAGCTACAGAAGTTTTTTCCACAACCCTTGTGCCTGGACAGTTGGTGGTGTATATGAGTACCTGATCAAACATCTTGTAAATCTAGAATTATAAATACAAGAAGCCAAATGCGACACACAAGTTGTCGATCACATAATGCGGACACAATAACGATCATAACAATCTGCTACAGTTACACATGGTCGGCATCCGATATCGACAAAATACCAGACTGGACACGAAGCAGTGAGTCCATAAAGAGGAATCCATAAAGAGTACAAGAGATGATTACAGGGCGAGTAACAGGTGAAACACAGTGCACTCCCACTCTCACAGTTGGACAGTGATAGCACACACGCGCGCGCACATACACACACACACACACACACACACACACACACACACACACACACACACACACACACAAGGAATCCAAAATAAATCAGGAGACATACCTCCGAGCCAAACACTTTTTCAAATGAGCTAATGGTTCCGCCAGCTGAAGTCACGAGCTCAAGCAAATTATTCCTGTACTGTTACCGAGATGCAAGACGACAAACGTCCAAAGCCGGCGCACATCAGATGGCAAGTCACTGTAGTTAGTCATCTCCCTTGCCCGTGGTATTCTGCACAGAATCTACAGGCAATAAAATACTCTCCCAAGGTGAACTGAGGAGCGTGCAGCAGAGGACACAAATGCTAACAGGAATACAGTTGATCGTGCTACATGTACACTTTGTGTCCTTGGGCCTTCAACTGATCTGCAAATCGATCAAGGTCTAGAGCACACCACTCTTGCCTTGTCTTCGCCATTTAGTACCAAAGGCGCCTGCCGCCATTTCTATTCTATTTCGATTAACGCACACCGTGCATAATAAGAAAGATGCTTTACACATCATGATGATAATAACACTTTTTAAGTTTTAACACCCCAGCCCACATTAAATATTATGGTGATGATACACAAGTACCACAATCTTTTTTTTTCTTCAAAGGGCGACCACCTTGAGTTATCATCGTGAAACTGACCGGCCTTAGGTGATTCGGGAAATTCCGTTCATCTGGTTCCATCTGGATTTGAACTCAGATCTGCATTTCAACAGTTTATGGGTGTACCAACTCAGCTAAGGGTCATTGGTATCATAATATTATTATACACCATCTTAATTGCAATGTGGTAAGCACGTTTCAGCTGCTAACACCTTATACTAGGCTTTTTTTCCTAGACATTTTGAACAAACATCATTGCAGCCCCAGGCCCCCAAATACGTTTTCAATTTTTCACATAGCAAGCACGCATTCTTAGAGTCCAGAAGCTTGAATCAATGCAATCAAACAATCCTTGCCAATCTGGCAATTTCCTTTATTATAAAAAACTTTAAAAAAGAAAAAAAAAGGACCAGTTCTAAGTCTGTGAGTGCTATCGTGTTTTCACGTGAGTCATGCATGCTAACCCCCTTTGTCTATGAGCCGCAGATAGCATAGAAAGCATAAAAGGCATTGCAATTCTCATCCCAAAACATTTAATATTTCTGTACGTTAGGCGAACTCGTACACATGGAAGACGACATGACAGGAATTCAGTCATCTTCGCTACCATTTCTCCCAAATAAAATGTAGGGCCGTTATCCCTGAATCTAGACTGTAAGTCACCCCAAAAACAGCTATAATGAGCTTCCATTCTGTCCAGTGGAAGACAGTACAAAGAGGATTGGATTCAACGCCTGCATCTGGTCTTGTTTCTCAGCGCGGTGCAGAATCACGATATTCTGCACCTCTCCAATGAGAACACCCAGATTCAATCGCTAAATCTGATCCTCTCTCTCTCTCCATCTCTCTCTCTCTCTCTCTCTCTCTCTCTCTCTCTCTCTCT